TCAGACAGAATATGTGCGGCACACTTGGGGCCATTTAAAGAACCAGCTGTCCATATTAGTTAAACGCTTTTCCAGTGTGGCAAGAACCATCTTGTTCTTCACATAAGGTATCCTTCTCTACGTGACATCAGCTTTAGGTGTCTAGCGTAGAGAGGTTTTCTGAGGAGTTCATTTCGGGTAAAGCGTATCATTGGAGTGCCGTAAAGACTAATCACCTTATAAATGTTATAGTAAAGGTAAAGAAAATCTATTAAAATATAAGAAACACTGTGATTTCAGGTCAAGTGTATTGTCCTCAGGGATGCACAAAGCTGTAACATGGAAAGTCTGTGCAATTGTCCTGAATTACAATCTCTAACACTTCACAACTGTGGACTGCTGACAGTTGAAGGCCTAGAGAAGTGTACAGAAATACAAGAGTTGTATTTGGAGGTAAGCGGTTTCTTCAAGGGAATAAAGGAAGTTAGAGTTATCACGAGGGTTTTCAAGTGGTCAGTTTAGGAACTTTATGTCATTGCGGCTCTTGCTGTCATCGAATGGGTTACCTGGCCAAACCTTACCTATAAATTTAATACACGAGACTGCCCGAATTTATATAAGAATTTACATGATTCCTTTAATATGGAGAACATCTGCGTTTGCTCTTTACAGAACAACCAAATTGAAGCAATAAACTGTAAAGGTTTGTGTAAGTTAGAAGAAGCTTCTTTTGCTAACAACAATTTGACGTCTATTCATGGTTTGGAAGGCTGTCATAACGTTGTGACTTTGGACTTGAGCAATAACAAAATCACAAGGATAGGTATGTTGATGTAGTCTTGTTTACAGGATTTGTTTACAGTCTCCCCAATTAGTAAGGCACTGTGCCTGAGCTATAAGACGTGAGACTTAAATAAAGTTCATTATTATTATTCATTTTTGTTTGTTTGTTTTCGGTCTATCGGCCATTTAAGTGGCCAGACTCAAAACTCATAATAAATGGCAAATTTCATTTAAAACATTACGTGTACATTGTACGTGAAAGTACTGCTTACACTGTAAGTGGTTTTGTGTGAATCGTTCACCATAGTATTTCATTCAGTGGCAAACTCAAAAGTTAGAGCTACCTTGTACAGCATAATAAACAGGGCCACGTGAAAGTACTGCTCAATAGCTTTCATCTGAATGGTCACACAAAATGACTCCGCCCACAGACTCAAAAGCTGGAACAACATTGTTCAGCATAATATTTTTATTAGTGAACAGTATCACAGAAAAGTACTGCTCAGTAGGTAGTTTTCATTTGAATGGTCAGACTTTAGGATTTTCTTCCATAGACTTAACAGTGAGAGCTATACTGCATGAATCCGCATTTGCTGGCCATGGCAGTGGAAGAATTACTGCTTACGATGTAGTTTATGCCTTCAATTATGTTTTGTTGTGGTCTTGTAGGAGACTTATCATCCTGTAACAAGATACAGCGTTTATTCATGGATAATAACCAACTGATTAACACTAAGGTAATTTGAAGGTCAAAATGTTAAAGCCCACCGATTTATAGTCGGTCAGTTCATACTGTTCTTAGCTTGTTCCAGGCGGGACGGCCGAAGAGGGCGGTGTGACCAGGAAAAACCAGCAAGGGTGGAGTAGGGGGTGAGGAATAGGCTATGTTTCGCTGTGCTGACTAATTTGGATACTAGAGCTGTGCATGTGATTCAGTAGACTTGCTACAAGTCGACCTCTCATGAGTTCTTAAAAGTGATTGAAGCGAGCTTCAATGTATGAGTCTCGAGGTCGACTTGTTTCGCCGGAATGAATTTGAATCACATTATAAATTCATGCGGGAAAAAAAAAGGTTGACATATGCTGTGTCGGAAGTGGTTTGAAATATCACTCTCTGTCCTATTGAACAATTGTCATGACGTCACCGGTAGAATTTCCCACCGCTGAATTACGCGTCAAACAGATATGAAAAGTCCTTAAAAATGGCATAACCAACTAGAAAAAAAGATAATAAAAATGAAGGACTTTTAGAAAGTCTAGTGACTCAGATACTGCTAATTGAATGGCCATGATTTTAATGTAAAAACAATAAATTCTATGTTAAAACCAAGGTATTACTGGTTGTTCAATTTTTTCCACCACAGGGCTTATCCTGCGTTACGAATTTGCAACATCTCAGCCTTGCACACAATCATCTGGCCCGCGTTTATGATATAGATAAGGCCATGCTGCTTCAAACTTTGAATCTTCAAGCTAATAATTTGCAAGAGGTAAGTTCAAGTTGATATTAAAGAAATGGAAAAGAAATTCCAGGTGACAATATTTTAGTTCAATTTACATTGTAAATAATTATGACTACATGTAATGCTGTGCATGTAGAAGAAAAAGGTATTGTTTGGTGCTCTTTGATACATTGATACTGGTGTATAGGGATGTATATATTAACATAGAAGGTTTTCCTCCTACAAAATAGTTAAAGAAGTACATTTCATGCAGTAAAATATGTTGCAAAGTAATTTACAGTTCCAACACACCGCCAAAAAAAACTGATGTTGACTATTCATGTCATGTCATGTATAAATACATTGTATTCTCTTCAAAAGGTGGAGATGAAGGCAATTGAAGAGGAACGAAGAACACAGAAAGAGGCATTTGTGGATGCTCAAGTAAGCAGAAATTTGCAAGTGTCACAATCAGGTGCAGAATGCACAAATCTGCTGTATTGTGGGTGGTTGTGTTAACCTGGTGCTAGAGAGTTGCACGTATGGTATTTTGGTCCAGGACTATATGCATGACTTTCTTCAACACTATCTGTCTGTAACACCCACTTCTTCAGCCAGGGGCACTGGCTGTTTTCTGTGAAATGCTTGCCCGGAAAAATAAGACATAAGACGCGAACTGTACCATTTATACGAGCATGTCTTATCTAAGACGAGAACAGCTCGTTTAAATAGTTCGCGTATTATTTCTGTTCTTGACTCGTTTTCATGTGAATTTTGCCCGTAGCAACGGCAATCCAACGTGGCACGCCAAGAATTAACGCATGCGTACTATGCGTTCGCGTCTTATGTAAGACGCGAAGGTCATTTATACGAAGTTTTTCTCGTCTTAGCTAAGACGCGTCTTATCCAAGAACAGGTGTTAAGGGCTGATCTAAAATAAGACGCGTCTTAGCTAAGCCGCGTCTTGTTTTAGACGAAATAATTTATGCCGTTTATACGGAACGTTCGCGTCTTATTTAAGACGCGTCCTATGTAAGACGCGTCTTATTTTTCCTCGTATAAATGGCCCTATTGTCTAAACATTTCTGTTGCCTGAGAAAGACTGAGAAAGGGATCTATTGCCGTTTTGACAAAGTACAGTGTAAGAAATTATTTGACCTCCCCTTACGTAACGCTCTCTTTTCTTTTCTTTTTTTTTCCGCCTTGCATGCGACCCTCTGCATTTGCAGAATCTCGCTTTCCATAACTTACATGTAGTTTTGTGGTGGAAGGTAGTGGGTTAGTGGACAGTGAAAATACAAGGTTTTCATTAAGATTTCATGTTGCTGTACAGAATGTATTTATGCAATTAGTAAGCAAGAGATTGAACAACCAGTAAGTCCTTTTGATTTGATTTTTTTTATGTTTCCTATGAAAGTAGTTTGAGATCATGCTCACTGCAACCGCAGGAAATCCTCTGCCCCAGGCCCTTATTGACAGCCATGGAAAATGGATGACTTGTTATGCTAAAATGTGACAAGGGTTTTCTAATTTTTGTCTACAGCGAAAAGAGGCAGAATATCAGCAGAAGAAACAAGAAACTGCAGCTACTAAAATTCAGCGGTTTTATCGCGGATTTAGGTATGTGAATCACTGATTACCTACATTTAAGTTTACAGTTTGGCTTGAAGCAAAGCTATTTCTGATATGAAATATTGTCAAAAGCACTAAAATTTTAGTTAAATTTTAAGGGGGGTGGTTTAACAAGCCCTTATACGAGCTTTAAAATGGTGACAGACAGCTAACTTTACAGTAGATTGGTAAAAAATAAAAATAACTTGTCTAAATGGAACCCTTTTTATCGAGGTATAAGAAATATGGCGAATACAATGTGTAAGTATAAAAAAATTGTTTTGTGCCGTTCGTCTGGGATGATTATTGTTACGCAACTGGTAGGAAATGCCTAGACATATTATTGTTTGCAATTAGTTGGCAACTATTTTTAACATAATTATACAACCAGTAAGCTCCAATTAAGCAAGAAAACGAAGTTTATGAAGTGACAATGTACGAACGGAGGGTTTTGCTTGCAATGAAGTGTCTTCGAGCATGCCTGCATTCCTATGTTTTGTGGTCGGCTAAACTAAACTAGCAGAAACACTGGAATGTTTTAGTTCATGCTCTTTTGTCCTGATAGCAAGGAATTGTCGAGATGTTTTGAAAACATGTCTCTTTTTATTCAGGGTAAGAAAGCAGTTTCAGCCTTTTCTGGAAACCAAACGAGTTGAAAGAATACAGAAGAGAAATGAGGAACTTGACCGAATTGAAAGAGTGGAAAAAAGGTTAAGAGATGAAGCAGAAAGAAAGAGACTGGAGGATGAACGGAGAAAGAAGGAAGAGGAGGAGAGGAGAACAAGACAAGAAAAAGTCGAGAAAGAAAGAAAATTAAAGGAAGAGCAAATAATTAGAGAGGAAGAAAAGCGAAAGAGGGAAGAAGAGGATAGGAAAAGAGTACTAGAAGAAGAGAAGAGGAAGAAAGAAGAGGAAGCAAGGAAGAAGAGAGAGGAGGAGGAGAGAGTGAGAGAAGCAGAATTGAAGAGGAAGTTGGAAGAGGAAAATAGAAAGAAGGCTGAAGAAGATGCAAGAAAAAAGCGAGAGGAAGAAGAGAAGCTGAGAGAAGCAGAATTGAAAAGGAAACTGGAAGAGGAGAAAAGAAAAGTAGAAGAAGAAGCTAAAAAGAAGAGAGAAGAAGAGGAGTTAAAAAGAAAGCTGGCAGAAGAGAAAAGAAGGGAAGAGGAGAGAAGAAGACTGGAAGATATGAAAAGAAAAGAGTTGGAAGACAAAAGAAGAGAAGACGAGAAGAAAAGTAGAGAAGAACGAGAAAGGGAAATGGAAGCAGAAAAGAAGAAAATGGAAGAGGAGGGCAAACGTTTAGAGACAGAAGAAGAAGCAAAGAGAAAAGCAGAAGTCAATATGAAAGAAGTGACACACATCTCACAGGTCAAGAGTGACTTTCAAGAGGTGAAGGACAATTCAGTTCCTGGATTAACATTGACTAAAGAGCTTGAGGCAAGAAGACTTCAGTGGGTTAAAGAGCATACTCCCTGGAGGTTTGTCAAACCTTACTTCACTTGTAATTTACTTTCTTGTTAGGGGCCCCTACGTCCTTGCTGTGTACGTGTATTGTACTTTTGTTAGTTACAAAGTTAACAAAAAGCCAATTAACTGCAAGAAGCTTATTATAAGTGAAATCAGTGCTCTTATTTTCGCGTGTTGGATGTACTTTAAAGGAACTTTACCTGACAGGCCGGCCTTTTGAACTTAGGCTTATTCATTAGCAGTATTTTTAGACTAACGAGCATCGTGGCCGTCTATGGTAACAAAAACCAATGTATCTATTTAGGATTGTGTCGGCTTTTTCTTATCTTGGATACAGCCTAAGAACTCAATTCAAAGTCACTTATATTTGCATACTAAACGAGATGGAATATAATAGCGGTAAAGTTTAAAACAGCGCGAATCAGCTTCTGGTAGCTGCTTCTAGCTGTACCGATAAGCAACCAAATCACAGACCATTTGGGTTCCGTGTTGGTCTTGTATAGGTAGCTTGATGCCTGACTTTTTGCTGTGGGTTTTGTTTTATCAGAAAAATATCCACTGCAGAAGAGAGAAATCATCCTGTAGCAATGAAGTCCAAACCAAGGTACTGTAAATTATATTGCTAATATTATATGGTTACAATAGTACGCGCACTCTAATTGGCTGTTTTCTTGTGATTACTGGGCATTACTAGCTAGGTCTCCAAGGTTTATACAATCTGTGTTTAACTTGATAGTAGACTTCCTTATGAACATCCATGTTATGGTCAATTGACAGCTGTCAAAAAGGGTATCCGCTGACCAGTGTCACCTGACTGTATTGCGGGCTCAAGTATACAACTCATTGAGGTGACAAGTTTTTTAAAGTTATCCGCTGACTAGTTGCTGGTTTTAATTGATCGCTCAGGTCCATAATGAAAAGGCCGTATATTAAATAACTTATTAAACTCGTTCGTTACATGTAGGTCAGTGATGTATTGACCTTGCCATCGCTCGGTCAATACATCAAAGCCTCGGTCTGAGATTTCCCTGTAATGACCTCACTCTCGGGTAATAAGTAGTATAAAATCGAGGCACTTAAAGACAAGAAATAAAAAAATAGTAAAACAACGTAATATTTTATTTATAATACAGAAAATCTTCCATATGCGACCACCTCCCTTTAGCCAGTCCTTTGTCAGAAGACACCCTCCGTGGTTTAATTCTCGTAAGCGACCACTAAATCTTGGCATTCATTAATGACTTCTCTCTTTTTTTGTACTTTTTCTTTTTAGTAGGAGAATATTCTCAGCCAGCAAACGTCTTCCTGCTTTAACAGAGGAACAGCTACTGAAGTCATCGCCTCCTGATACACCTTTGTTTAGGGTAAGTTGTTCAGCTGTAACTGCTTTAGTTTCTTGAGAGTGCAAAGGACGGGTCACACTAGGCGACAAGTTCCATTGATGTGACGTATTTACAGATCTTAGAGACAGTTCGCATCGTGTGACTTGGGGAAGGCACCGTTTTGGGGACGGCACCGTTTATGGGACGCCACCTTAAGAAAAATAACCAAATGAAATAACCGGCACCTTCTACACAGGCTATGAAAATCTCTTTTAGTCCGAAGGGAAAGTTTTGTCCCGTGGACAAAGAATTTTTCAGAAAAATTCTTCATATAGCACTAGACGAACTGTGGCTGCGACTCATTCCCTCATCATGTTGATGGGTTAGTTTCGCCCCACCTACACGCAAGAGCGTATTGTCGTAGAGGCTTTCTGCAGGACTTGTTGTAGAGTATCTCCTTTACCTTAACCTATTAGACAGAAAATTTGCGGCACACTTGGGGCCATTTAAAGAACAAGCTGTCCATATAAGACAAACGCTTTTCCAGTGTGTTAAGAACAATCATATTCTTCACATAAGGTATCCTTCTTTACGTGACTCCAGCTTTAGGTGTCTAGCGTAGAGAGGTTTTCTTCTTTTCCGGTAAAGTGTATATTTGAAGTGCAGTAAAGACTAATCACCTTTTAGTAAAATCCAACTAGTGGTCTATTATCAATGCTGCGTTCTGATTGGTTGAGCTACTACTAGGCTATATGTTATATCCCAGTAGCAGCGAAAAGCGCCGGCTTTGAAAACCAAAACAATGGCGGTTGAATCGTGTTTTGCTAGCTAAAGTTGTTTTGTCTCGAAATTTTTGACCAACTAGTTGGATTTTACGAAAACAATTATTCCTCTCGCCCTCGTGGCCTCTGAGTCAATGGCCCATTCGGCCTTCGGCCTCATCTATTGACTCAGAGTCCATTCGGACTCGAGGAATAATTGTTAAATACATGTTATTGTAGAGGTGAAGAAATGTTCTTAGAAAAGGAAACATTTTGATTTCAGGTCAAGTGTATTGTCCTCAGGGATGCACAAAGCTGTAACATGGAAAGTCTGTGCAATTGTCCTGAATTACAATCTCTAACACTTCACAACTGTGGATTGCTGGCTGTTGAAGGTCTGGAGAAGTGTACAGAAATGCAAGAGTTGTATTTAGAGGTGAGCGAAGTCAGAGTTACACTGTATCATCAGAGTTTTCAAGTGGTCAGTTTGGGGCTTTATGTCATAGCGGATCTTGCTGTCATCAAATGAAATTAAAAGGCCGATGAGTGTTTATGCAAGTGGTTTTTAGCCAGGTGTAAAAAAGCGTTTTTATTTGAGTTTACGTAAGTTGGTTATGCGTTTTTGCGTTATGTCTTTATTTGATTGGTTGGAAAACTTCACGCCACTTTCTCGAACTACGTCCCTTGGGTAGATTTCCCGCCATGTGATCCGAGGTTATGGTTTGACATAGTAGCCTGCCCAGCTAGTGGTTTTGTTAGACTACGAGTAGTTTCTCCTCTTTCTTAGTCCGTCGAACGATATGCGCGAGAAACGAAAATGGCCGATCACATGGCGAAAACACACGGGTCATTGCTCGAGAAAGTGACGCGAAAATTTGGAGCCAATCAGAAAACGAAATAATACAAAAAGGCAAAACCAAAGTCATATCTCAACTTAAAGTTTTTTTCCATAATTAATCGGAAACCACTCATATAAACTATCATCGGCCTTTTTAACCTCGTTACTCACAGTCTATGGTTGAAATTGTCGGAGTGCGAAAAAAGAAAATTTTCGGTGGACCGAAAATGAAACCTTTAGCTGCGCAGGTTATTCCGTCTTTTTTTTCTTTTGCTATGATATATGAGAATTTACATGATTCCTTTAATATGGAGAACATCTGCATTAATTTTGCTCTTTACAGAAAAACCAAATTGAAGCAATAAACTGTAAAGGTTTGTCTAAGTTGGAAGAAGCTTCTTTTGCTAACAACAATTTGACGTCTATTCATGGTTTGGAAGGCTGTCATAACGTTGTAACTTTGGACTTGAGCAATAACAAAATCACAAGGATAGGTATGTTGAATAAGTCTTGTTCAGGATTTGTTTGTTTGTTTGTTTGTTTTCTGTCTATCGGCTCTTTTAAAAGCTCAGAGTCAAAACTCATAATAAATCCCAAATTTCATTTAAGACACAAAGTGTACATTGTACGTGAAAGTACTGCTCAAGTGGTTTTGTTTGAATAGTTCACCATAGGATTTCATTCACTGGCAAACTCAAAAGTTAGAGCCACCTTGTACAGGATAATAAACAGAACCACGTGAAAGTACTGCTCAATAGCTTTCATCTGAATGGTCACACAAAATGACTCCACCCACAAACTCAAAAGTTGGAACAACATTGTTCAGCATAATATTTTTGTTAATAAACAGTATCACAGAAAAGTACTGCTCAGTACGTAGGTTTCTTTTAAATGGTCAAGCTTTAGGATTTTCTTCCATACACTTAAAAGTGAGAGCTATACTGCATGAATCCGCAATTGGTGGCCATGGCAGTAGGAGGATTACTGCTTACGATGTAGTATATTCCTTAAATTATGTTTTGTTGTGCTGTTCTAGGAGACTTATCATCCTGCAGCAAGATACAGCGTTTATTCATGGACAATAACCAGCTGATTAACACTAAGGTAATTTGAAGGTCAACATGTTAAAGCCCACCGATTTATAGTCGGTCAGTTCATATTGTTCTTAGCCTGTTTCAGGCGTTCAGATTATGGGGACGGCCGAAGAGGGCGGTATGACCAGAAAAAACCAGTAAGGGGTGAGGTAGGGGATAAAAAATTGGCTATGTTTTTCTGTGCTGACTAATTTGGTTACAGAGCAGTGCATGTGAGTCAGTAGACTTGCTACAAGTCGACCTCTCATGAGTTCTTAAAAGTGAGTGAAGCGAGCTTCAATGTATGAGTCTCGATGTCGACTTGTTTCGCCGGAATGAATTTGAATCACATTATAAATTCATGCGGGAAAAAAAAAGGTTGACATATACTGTGTCGGAAGTGGTTTGAAATATCACTCTCTGTCCTATTGAACAATTGTCATGACGTCACCGGTAGAATTTCTCACCGCTGAATTACGCGTCAAACAGATATGAAAAGTCCTTTAAAATGGCATAACCAACTAGAAAAAAAGATAGTAAAAATGAAGGACTTTTAGAAAGTCTAGTGACTCAGATACTGCGTATTGAATGGCCATTATTTTAATGTAAAAACAATAAATTCTGTGTTAAAACCAAGGTATTACTATTTGTTCAATTTTTTCCACCACAGGGTTTATCCTGCCTTACGAATTTGCAACATCTCAGCCTTGCACACAATCATCTGGCCCGCGTTTATGATATAGATAAGGCCATGCTGCTTCAAACTTTGAATCTTCAAGCTAATAATTTGCAAGAGGTAAGTTCAAGTTGATATTGTTGTTCATTGAGTTTGGTATGGATAACCTTGTAATCACCATTGTCATAGCTGTCATCTTCATCATCAATTTGGATGCCCTTGATGAGGCTGGTTCTCGCCTGCCGCAAATCTACCTGCGTTATAGCTGCCCGTTTCTCGGGAGTTTAACAACGAAGTTTTATAACGCTTTGTGAACTTGAATATGGTCCCTTGGAATTCAAATTCAGGAGGGAAGACTGAAATACTGAAAGAACGCAAATTCACTTCTTAAGGGACGTTCTCGTTGCTGTCGCGTCGTTGGATCTTAAAGTCCCTAATATGGAGCTTAAACAACTACGAAGGCGACGGTTAACGGGAACGTCAAAAGAGCAGCTGTAAGTTTGATAAATATAACAACAACAACTCTAAACATACATCACGCTTTTCGGTACATTTCTTTGTCGTCAGTGCACGACCATGACCTCACGCGAAATATTCTAATGCGATGTTTCGTGGAGAACGTAACACACAACGGCATTTTTTTTCTTTCTTTTTCTAAAATTTGTCGCGGATCGTAAGGGTGCTGCTCGGGGACAATTTACCCTCATTTGGTGAATTAGGAAGTTGGAATAATCGCAAAATATGAAAGAACAGAAATACCCTTTTAAAGCGGCGTTTTCGCTGCCGTCGCCGTTGTGGTTGCTTAACATATCACAATTACTGTGATTTGATCATCACTTTTAACATCGCTCTGATATTAATTCATGGTGATCATCAGTGTCGTTTTAATATTATCGTCATCGTTAACTTTGTCTTTTCCTCTTTATCACTATCGGCACCACTGATATATGTTATGGTTTAATTTTATACTTCGTCTTGGCTTAGAATTTGTTTCCCTTTGTTTTGGGGTATGGTAATGTAAGATAATGAGTTTAAAACAAAGAGAAATAAAATTTTATACCAAGGATAAAATTGAACCACAACAGATATACCTTGAAAAGTTCAACGCATGGGGGCTCGTGTTAGGTTTTTTATCTTTTTGTTGCCAACACGTTTTCGATCTCGTCTCCTACAGCCTCCTCAGCTAACAAACTGTGTCTTGTTGAGGGAGCTCGAACTCAATGATAACAGCATTTCTTCCTTGGATTCCTTGTCACGTGCTTGGCTTCCGTTGCTTCGTTGTCTTAGCGTCAGTCAAAACAGGTGTGTCTACTTATATCCGTATTCCTGGACGTTTTCTCCTTTACATTTACCGTAAATCCTAAGCCCCAGGGGGCTTATTTTTTTTTTAAACACATTTGAGGAGGGGTGGGGGGAGGGGGGGCTTAATAGAGACGAAGGACTTATGTGAAGTGGGGGAGAACGGGCGCTTGTTTAATTTACCAAAGCTAAAATACAATGTGGAGAAGCTCAAGCACAAGAAGTTGGAGGTCATGCAACCAATGATCAAAACCGAATCCGAACTTTCAGATGGCAAATAAACCGTCCTGGATCAGTCCACACCAAGATTTACAGTCGTGATTGATTAATACAGTCTATCAGGACTATCAATGATTAGTAAATACTGTAATGATAAGGATGAAGAGGGGTAGGGGGCTTATTAGACTGTTCACAGTTCTCTAGTTTTCAGTAAGATCGTCGAGATCGAGCGCTTTGCGTTACTTGCTGCCATCTTCATTGAGTGTCAAAACTACTTAGGGGGCGGAGGGCGGTTTGGGAGGAAGCGAGAAAAATTTTTCTTCCCTTCCGCCCTCCCACTAGGGCTATGATGCCTGACACCCGCCCCCTCGGTCATGTGAAAATCAAGATGGCCGTCATTGACGGTAAGACGCGCTATATTTAAACGATCTCACGAAAAAAGAAGGGACTGTGAACAGTCTAGGGGCTTATTAACTTTCCTCCACTGAAAAGGGAGGACTTACTAGAGAGATAAGGCTTATTTGAGAGGGGGATTAATAGAGGATTTACGGTACTTGATGTTGTTGTGGTTCTCCTGAGTACTCAGAAGTGTTGATTTTATTCTTATTCTTTACTTACATACATTATTGTTTACTCAATTATTTCTGAAAATACATATGGGCGGCAATGGGCTGGACCTTTGAGTGTCTGTTTAAATCTGTAGTGTCACAGTTAACCGCTGAATGTATTGTGGTTTTTGCATGCAGTATTTCCCAGTTATCTCCTCTTGGTAACTTGATCATGTTGGACTCTTTGGATATCAGCAATAATCTTATATCAGGTATGAAACTGGCATGCATTGCACCAAGACAGTAGATCGTTTTCATATGACGCCATGGCGGCCATATTAGTGTACAAAACGATGAAATGGTAGCCATGAGGGTGTATTTTTGGTACACCCCTTCCTCTCAATCCCCTACCACTTTCGACGCCTGCTACGCAGACTAACCAATAAAATGCTGTGATGATTGAACTCTTTTCTCATGTAAATATTCTTTTGTTTCGAGAAATTTGCATAGCCATTGATCACCTGACAACAAATAACAGCAACTGAAAGTTAATCGGTAACCCTTCCACTCTCAAAGATTGTATTGGAATCACGTGACAGACTAGTACCTTTTGTGCCTGTGAACAAAATCCCATGTAGTTTCACTTTTTGTTGCTGTATGGAATGTTTCTTTTTGATGTTGTTGTTGTCTTGAGGCCATTGTATTAAATGAAAAAAAAAAATGAAAGAAGAACGAGGTATTACTTTTAAAAAAAGTTCCGTGGAAAGCATGTAGTAAAAATGATCACCAAACTCTCTAGGACCACTGGAGTAAAAAATAGAAAAATGGAGTGAATCAGCTTTTGATAAAAAAAACTTTTTTGCCGTTACCATTTTTTAACGTCTTTCCGTTATGATTTGACGATTATATTCAGTGAGTCTTCGTTTTGGACTACATAACATACCTCTGGAAGCGATGAGCAAGGAGAACGACCATTTACACTAAGGGTCGTGCTTAAGTCCTGTTGCTCTAGGCAATCTTTGGTGTAATTTTTAAGCGCGTTTTTTTGGGTGAGTAGGGAGCGGAGAAAGGCGTGCCCTAGAATTGTGAAATTCTCACAGTCACCTGCCAAGGGGTAAGGGTGGAGCGTGGGAGACCCCACCCCCAAGTGGACCTTTTTCCTTCTGCTCACCCTCTTGATCGCACTTTTTGCTTACATCGACCTTCCTCTCCTTTCAAAATCCAAGATGTTCACGGCAGAAACTGTGTGACAAGTTGTAAGAACCATTCCCAAAGTGTAACAGGGTATTAGGCGTTATATTAGAGAGCTTAAGCAGGAACGTTTTTGAGCGAGGCACATCAACCGGAAGTGAGCTTTTTTTCTCTTCAGTATGCCTTGACGCCACCAATTTTGTATGGCTAAGTGTCTTTACTCTTTTAGAGACTATTTGCCCAAAAACCGGCTCAAGTGTGCAAAAAACAAACATTATGATGAGAAGATGGAATCATAATGTCATTTTATTTCGAGGCATTTCCCGTTTCTTATCAGCAGTGTGCAGGCGGTGGTTCCCTGGCCAATCAGGAGATCGAACGTGTTTAGTGCTGTATAAAAGACTTGTTATGTGTTTCGCGCGGCCCTTCCAACCATTACCATCAGCCTGTACTAGTGACATCCCTTTGACGCTTAGTTGAAAATTTTTCCCACCACCTCCCCAGTCTCCGACCTGCCACCGTCTACATCTTCTTATAGTTTTATCGTCTTTAGTTTGTCGTAAGTATTTGCTAATTTGTGGCGGATTTTTTTCCCCACCTTTCCTTAAGAGATGTTAATTAGTTAGTTTTATCATTGGTTTCAATTAAAAACGTCACGCTTGTGGCCATTTATCCCAAACAGTTGAGATTCTTTCTCGGGTCATCTCTTCAGCAAACCAGTGCCCCACCATGCGGAGCTCTCGATCGTTTTCGTAAATTCGGTTTGGGAAGACTCGCAATAAAAGTCCACTTCCGATTGACGTGCTTTGCTTAAAAACGTCGCTGCTTAAACTCCCTATTTGATTGTTATCAACGTAGAAATTAAAGGAAACAAAGCCTCATGTGGGGCTTGATTATATTTCCTTTGCTGCGTATTTTTTTGTTCTGTTTTGTTTTTAGAAAATCTTAAGTGACGTTATATATGTTTTCAGACACAGATAGCCTTATTCCGGGACTTCAAGGTTGTAAAAGGTTGAAAACATTAAAGATCGAAGGAAACCCCGTACATGAAGATCCAGATTGCAGGTAACAGTAGCGAGAATACTATTTGAAAAACTTTGTTTCGTAATTTTTGTTGAAGGGGCTATAATGTAAGGCCTAAATGTTATAAACGACCCTAAATGTAATAACATTTTGTCCTAATTGTGATAAAGTCCTGACTGTAATAACGTTAGGCCATAAATGTAATAAACTCTCAAATAACCGCCGCCCGCGAACACGCGTCGCACTCTAGGTGTACAATAAGAAATATTAATAATATTAATATTTAGTAGTATAATCACTTACTTGCTATTAAATCGGATTTAATTTTAGCCTGTATTCTGTCCTCTTTGTGCGATAAACGCTACATTACATAAAAGTTCATAAAAAGCTCCTTACTTCAACCTTGCCATGTTTTATTCATGAATTTTTGTACAGTTTTTTAATATCCTTCGGAATTAAGTGCATTCAACAGTGTGTTCATGACATCACGTTTATTTTGGCATATGACTTATGTCTTCCATTAGTCACGAGGTTGTTGTAATCAGTTGGTCATGATGTTGACGATGAAGTTGTTTAAAATGATTTATCAAAGCTGTAACATTAAGACCCATCTCAAAACTTGGTGAAACATAAAAGGGATCGCTAAAAACATTATAAGGAGGTATTAATTTTATAGCAAACACAAACGTAGGCATGGATGGACAAGCTTGAAGAAGATTAAGACGGATTGAAATTGTGGGTTTTTGAAGATTTGTTAGCCTAAGAGTATTTCATACTTTATTTTCTTTGTTTGTAATGTTTGATTTGATACAATATTGGTAAGTATATTTCAAATGGAGAAGATACTGTAATTCTGTGGTTTACGAGTGATTTATTTGTTAATAAAAGATCGATAATGTATAAGAAAACGCGCCGTATTTACTCGGATAAGCGCCGCGGCGCTTATTTGAGGGCAGCGTTTATTTTCAAGAAAGTTGGACGCGACAAAGAATTGTATAAACTATGGTATCATTACTTTCCATATTAAACTAACAGAATTAACGTCTTTTTATTTGATTTTATTATTCGTTCAAAATATTTCTCCATTTCTGATTGGCTAAAATAACACGCATATTCCTGGTAACCAGCTACTGTTGCCCAAATTTGGAAGAATTTTGCAATATTGAACCGATGACGTCAAAAGTGCAGCAAAGTTGCAGATTATTGAAACTTTAACCGAGAAGACCTGGGGACGAGGTTGAGTAATTTCGGTAGTGAGAACAAAAAAGGCGGAACGTTTCAGTCGTTTCCGAGGCAGAAGTAGGCGAACTTTTGGCTAAAAACATAGCAAGAACAGCGAGAAGACAACTCAAACGACGACATCTGCTATTTGGAGAATATTTGTGGAGTTGAACAACCCTCTTTCTCTCGATTAACGTGCGCTATCGAAGACGAACTTAACGTCGGTGGTGGTAAGCCTGTCTTAGCTTGTTTTTAAAGGCGAATCTGAAGAAGGTATGAAGGATTGTAGACACACTGAATTCTGCAAAGCTGATCGTACTACGTGAAAATTAACTTTGCAAGGCATCAACACGACATAGAAAGAACCAAAAAAAAGAGCGTGGTCTCAGCCGTAGAAGGCTGTTTCGCCCTTTTGGGAGCTCTTCAGTACGGCGCAACGAACAGAGATGCTCTGCTGTAAACTTCCGCACACTCTGTTTTAAAGCCCAAACATTGAAGGATTATACTCAGATTTTCCCTTAAAACTAGCGGCCCCACGTTTTTCAAGTTTGCCTCCTCGTAAGTAATGAAAGTAAGTCAAATCATTAAAGATACCATTACCTACGTCATTTTATTCTTTTGAAAACGTGTTTCAGGGCATTGGTATTGGAACAATTGTCATGTCTTAGATGGCTGGATGGCGAGAATCTCTCCGGAAAAGGACAGGTATGATTACTGTAGAGATCATATTACAGTTTAGCCTGCGTGGCAGACGCAAAAAGGAAGTGGGGGGGAGGGGGGGGGAGAAAAGCGCGAAAGCGGGAAAAAGGAAAGTGAGTCCCGTTCTCTCTCTCCCCAATTCCCCTCCCTTTTCCCCTCCTCCCTATCCCTTACCCCTTTCGACGCCTGCTACTCAGGCTAATTAGAGTTTACCACAATTTAGTTTGTGCCGCGTGTGCGAAAATTTTGAAGGCTGGAAACTTCTTCTCCTCTATTTTCTGTGAACGGTTTTTCTTGTTGTTTGCCTCACGATGGTTACGTTTAACCGATGGCGACCTTTTGATCGCCTACTCTACTCTTTCCTCTGTTTTCTGCAAACAATTGTTTATCGTTTGCCTCACGATCGTCTCTTTGTAATTGATGGCGACCTTTTGACTACTGGTCTTCATCAGCCAATGGTGTTGATTGGATGTGCGGGACTACCAGGGACTATCATCACCATACCGTCGCGATCAGTAACAAAGTGACCATCGTGGGACAAAGGATAAACAAACCGATCAGAAAAAAAACGGCCGAGGTGTGAGAGAGGAACGGTTAACACCTCGAATTTCGAGTCTGTCGACTAGGTTCAAGCCTTGCCGTCACTTTGTCAGACTTGCCACAAGTCGACTGCGTGAGCGCCGAAGGCGCGAGCCAGGGACGCTCGAGAAGCGACTGAAAGCGAGCGACGAAGTCGCACTAGCAGAAACCGGAAGCGGGCTTTCAGCCGACTGACCACGTAACCAGCAGAAACCGGAAACGGTTTCAAACGGGCTTGAGAAAGTCTATCTCTTTGTTTCCTTATCCAAAATTCTTTGCGCCGTTTTGTCTCTCTTCAGCCAGGTGTACGTACTGCTGGGGGTAAGACTGCGATGAACTAGCATAAAGATGAATGACACTTTTCTTGCATTTCATTTTATTTTATTTGGAGTATCTGAGCTCGTACGAGATCGTATAGGAATACATTTGGACGAACAACAGGTTTTTTCAGTAAGCCATAAAATGTGAAGAAACCTAACCTATTACTTAAGTTTTTTTGAGACTCAATACTCCAAAAGATACTTTCTTGGAAAGCCTTTTATTGTTTCCTCCTTGTGTTGTACAAAAAATAGTAACGTGGAATTACTACGTGTTAAGAAACAAAAAACTCGTAATTCTTTTCTTTTTTTGTTCAAACGTATAAGTACACATTTCCTGTTTTTCCCGAGCAATGCCGTGTAGTAAACATTCTTTTTACTTGACAAGTGTGAACTAAATCAAAAGGCTTTCATTTTATTGAGTTAGAATGATGTCTTTCCTGAAAATGAGATGATGAAAATTCCATCATACCGGCCATGTACAAAGCAATAACACAGAAATGAGTGAAAGAGTTTGTTACTTATACAGTCTAAACCGGCAAAAGTCAGTATAGTTGTGTCTATACTATTCTAGTTCTTTACATTTCTACAATATATACATTATGCTAGATTTCATGTTCTTTGAGTTATTGCTTGTTTCACTCGTCACGTGGTCAAGTGTTCACTGTGCCGACCGCCTTGTCCGAAGAAAAGTTCTTATTCACCAGTCACCAGTAGTTCTTTTTGAAAGGGATGTAATCCGCAAATTGCTTAACGCGATCTCTATCAGTTACAAACTGTATGATAAACGCTGTTTTCATATTTACCCCAGATTCTGGAAACAATTCAATGTAGCTTTGTTGGATTGTGTCTGAATCAATTCCAGTCACAGGAAGACTTAGAATCAAGACATAAAAAGGAAACTAGGTAGGTTAAAATATCAGGTGCCTGTGTTCTTCATTGCGCAAGTTACTTACCGTGAGTAACGTTGTAGTCTTGTCTGGATCCTACCCTGAATTTTCGTCTTCCAAACACCCTAACTTTCAGAGCGAGAGTAAGTGCAGAACCTTTGTTGTGAAAATGGATGTTCCTTATTTGCATGAGAATTACAGATAACTTTCATACCAGAGGCTTCGCACTTAACCTCGTTTTAAAGCAGAGGCTTGGGGTAACTGGAAAATATATACACTGCATTAAAATCAGGCAGTTCCGCAGGGTTCTACCTTATCTATTATTTTGTAGTTTGAATTAAGTTTTATCTATCCCGGCTTTAAACTGTTGGAAAGTTCACATGTAGGGGCACTTTCCATTTGTTAGAAATGGCTGGCCAGACAAGTGCAGTCGTAAGGAGTATTTCACTAGTAACCAGAACTATATAGCCAGATCAGTTTATTCTTAAATAGTCTGCACGGCAGTGACGGGGTTTTAGTTAAAATTTCGAGAAAATACAATTTTTGATTTTTAAAATGACCGGTCTGGCCGGCCATTTCTGACGTATGCAAGCGCCCTAAGGTACCGCGATGGCGACGGGGTCGAAAACCCCACCTAGCGAATTCACTCTTTGCGACTTCTTGGTTATGATTCCATCACAAATGCTAAATGTAGGCGAATTCTCAAGGACGGTATCCTCATCCCGACTAACTGGTAGCCAGGAACGGGCTTTCTGTCTTTTATGATCATCCATCGTCTGAACATTTTTTTTTTTTGGGGGGGGGGGGGGGGGGGGGGGGAGGAAAGGATCCCAACCGAGCGGACGGGGCCTGCGGTGACATTCCCGAAAATATCGCCCAAAAACGCCTGTCTCCCGGGGGACTTCGGGCAGGTTTTTGTACATATGGTATTTCCTGTTTGCGTGTGCTGCTCCGTCGCGCCCGGTCTTTCTTCAGTTCTTTTTTTTCTACTTGCGACGTCTTCGTGATCAGCTATCCGCAACAAGTGAAAATGGGGGGAGAATTACACAGGAGCAGACCATCCTCCCCAAAACTAGGTGTGCAGGGACGGATGTTCTTTTTTTTTGCAACACCCCTGTTGTTATTTTTTTTTTTTTGTTTTTGGCGGGGGGGGGGGGGGGGGAGGAAGTGAACGATCCAGACAATCCTGACGAAGCCTGCGTTGACAATCCTGACAAACTCGCGCAGAAACGCTTGCTATGCAGGGTAATTCGGCCAGTTTTATATAATCTATCTATTTCTTATTTACGTTGTCGCTGCCGTCACCGTCGTGATCTCTCAAGGTCTGTTACTTATTTGAATGATGTAACCTCCTGATTTTGTCATTTTTTTTGTATCGTTATTGAGTTACTCACGTGTGATTCTCATTTCAGCTTCGAGGACAATCATGCTACTGATCCGCTCTTGGTTTCAAAGCGACTTGCTTTGAAGGTACGAGATCTTGTTTAGTCACCTTATCGATACATTTCATTTTACTCATTTATGAGTCAAGGTTAATGAGTGTTTCAAAATCTAATAAAAAAAAGCTGGGTTTATCACCAGTTGTCTCGGAAAGTATAAGGAAACAAAACCCAGTGATTATGGGAAGGATAAACAGATACGGTAAACTGCCGTAAATGCAAAAGTTCTGTTTATTTCGAATCGGTACCAACATAGGATTTCGTACACAGTTGCAAAAGGTACAATGACAAATCAGGTGATAGCTCATTGGTGGCGATTTTTGTGGGAGATTGGTTGTATTCGCTATTCATCTCCACCCCCAATCAGCTGTGGTGAGTGATAACGTTATGAATCAGTTTATTAATGAGTTCTTGTCTCTTACAATAGCGTCAACATAACAGAGAAAGACTTGAATTGGCTGTACGTCATCTGCTGGAACATGAAAACTTTAACCCGGATCACTTTCCGCCATTAGTTAAAGAAAAAATCCTAGAAAGAGAAGAGAGCAAGGAAGTCACCCAGAATAGGGAAGCACCTAAAGTCATGGACAAAGAAGATAAAGCAGGAGATAAGCTCAGTGGAGATCCTCAGTAAGTAAAAAAGTCAGGCTTATTCAACCTCGCAGCCCGAATATCCACATATAAGTTCTCCAAACTGGTTTCTGTACATTTCTAAAAAGAAAGTAAAGAGAATTTTAGTGGTAGAAGATAAATGCATTTTTTCTCAAGTGATTATTTGGTCAATTCTTACAACCTATTCTCTTGATTGTGTATTGATATTGTTGGGAGAAATTTGATGTTTGTCACTCTTGAGACCCTAAGGATTAAAGGGGCTATGTCACGAGGATATTGGTGTTTTATGTCATTTTTCTGTGTATCAATTACTTTGTGCCTTTGTCCATTCACAAAATGCTTCTGTAGCTGTAGCGTTATGAAGAATATATCAAACAAATTTCATCATCAAGTTTCAATCCATATCCATCCTTGTCATCCGTAGCAAAAGATAACATGAAACAATTTCCATGCCTAAATATAGTCTTACACAGCAAAACTGGACCATTTATTTGGAGTTCAGAGGATGCAAAGACACTTTTAAGCGTTTTAAAGAGACAGCGAATAGTGTGACATAGCGGCCGCTTTAAGAGGCACTCTCACCGAAACGTTTTTCAAAAGTTTCTTAAATTTTGAGCAAGTGCTTTTCGTTTACACAAACGGCCCATGCAACACCTTCAGGTATATTTCAATTTAATTCTTGGAAGGAATAAATGGTATGGATGATTGTGCGGATGCCCAATTGGCGATCCTCAAGTCACCCTCCCCCCACCCCTGAATTCCCAACTGCAATGTTTGATGACCACTGGCTACTTTGATACCTAAACTTGTGATGTACCCATGCCACAAGGCGCCACTCGTCTCAGAACCTCTGTAATAATAAAATTTATACCACATGTCACGATTACAGGAAACGGCGAAATGTTGCTGCAACAAAGATTCAAGCCTTGTGGAGAGGATGGTATATCAGACACTTAATTGATGTCAATACAACCAAGGTGGGTAAAAAAATAAAAGTGACAATCTAAACCAGACCGAAAAAAATGCTTTAGTATGAACTCATTTAAGTGACAGAGATTTCGGATATGTGTAAGTCCACCATTTAAATACCGCGTATATTATCTGTTTTAGTTGCTTGCAGCTGTGAGTATCCAGTCAGCATGGCGTGGCCACTTAGTTCGTTCGCAGTTAAAAAGGGAAGCAAAAGAATCTTGGGATCCAAAGAGAAACTCAGCTGCTACAGTCATTCAGGTAAAGTTTAAATGTGTTTGTATCGCATCCCGAGAAGAAAGACGGTCACCCTGCGACGGAGCAGAATCTCCTTTTGTCTTCTTCTTGATCGAGGAAGAGAAAAAGAGGCTCTGTTTGAATCGCAACAAGCCTTTGAAATCGCCGTAGCCCACAATAAGGAACAAAAGTGTTGAGACACTTCTTTAAACTGGTCCCTTTTTGAACAGTGAACAAACCTATCTCCTCCCCTTGTGTACCCCCACTGCCTTCCCCCCAAAACTAGTGTTGTGTTTTAGACCCTCAAGTCTTTCTTTTGCTACAAACAACATTTATTAAGGGGTGGGGGATTGACGGCCTCTAAATAGAGTGAAATAATGAACGAAATTGTTGATAAAAGCATCCATTTTAGACAAGTGTGTCAACTACTTTTGTCCCTGATTTCAGCTTCTGGACAATTCAATCTTGTTTCTTTTCGTCAAACTGGTTTTTCGGGTTCGACCATTTGTTAATTGATAAAACGTTGCACATCTAGTATTTGCTTAACCGAAGGGATTAGGACCAATAGCGTGCTCAACCGTGATAAAGATCTTACTCGAATCATGTAGGGACTTTCTCAAGAAAGCGAAAGAAAGGCTCCGCTGGAGGGGTGAAAGACGATGTGCCCAAGATTTTCCGCTCGAATTTTATGAAATCCTTTTCACCGACCCATAAGGTCCTTGACTTACCTCGGGAAAAACTGCGTGGATGTCCGCTTTTGAAGTGATAAGTGAGTATTGGACAAATCCGTGTAGACGTTATAGGAAACGTTTGTGACAGATATCGAGATAACTACCTTGGGATTCTCAATCCCACGATAAAACAACCAATCCGAATGTACTACCCCACGAGAAAGCAGCTCACGGGGGTCGTTTGTCCCCATCCCCATCCCTCCTCGAGAGCTAACTTGCAACCTAGAAATTTTCTCCTGCAGTACACGCGCACGAACCATAAGAAAAAGAAAGTGAGTCTAGCATCGTGGTGTACGGGTAACAGAAAGCAGGGAACGAGGCAAGGTGGGAGGAATAGGCTCATGCCACCGGACTTTGTCACTCCGTGAGCTGCAGGAATAAGCTAAGGGGCCATTAAGCAGGAGCCCATAAACCGGAGGGGACAACTTACATGTATTCGTGTCACGGCGTTTTAGATCGACGTCGTTAGATAGTTAGCAAAAGTTACAGACCGGAAAATGGTTTTGGCTCTCTGATGATAATTATTTTTTTTTCTCTGTAAATTCGGATGTGCACATATACGGAAGGTTTCTATCTCCGGATTATGGGTTCCAGCTGGCACAACGTTTTAGCCCAACGATTCCTGGGTTTCTTTGCTTCGTTTACTTATTGTTACTTTGCTTACCAAAACTGCAAAGACAAGAAACTGTGAAATTAAATTTAATTAAGATTTGGCACACAATCAGATACCTGGGAGTAAGTCCGCACGTGGGTAGATTGCAGCGAACGGCTACTGAAAGTATTGTTCTTTCTCCAAAAGGCACATTTTCGTGGTCGGCGCGTTCGTCGGCGTTTGGCCGAAGCCTTGAAAGCAGCTCAATTCTATGATGGTGAAGAGGAGGAGGACTTTGATTATGACGAAGAAGTGGATTTAACAGCTTTTGAGTTTGACGAAACAGTGTTAGAACAAGGCTGGACACCAAGCGAAACTCCACAGTTACCTTCAAGGCAAGTTTCATTATTCTGTGCCAAAACAATATTTAAAACCAACAAAAAACAGCCGATCATCGTAAATCGTAAAATTATTTATGTCTGACAAAATCCCACCTGCGGTTGAACATTGTGACGATCAAATACCAAAGATTATTATTTTGTAGCTGAAGATTGAAAGTCTTGTATGTCCTACTGGAAAGGTGACCTGGTCCGAAATATGTTGTAGTAAAAAGGAACCTTATTTGATATCCTAATGTGTTTGTTAGAATGTTGATAATTATATTCACACTTTCAAATTGAAGGCACAACAGGTGTTTTTATCAATTCAGCCCTAATTTTGACGGTCCTGGTTTTCTCAAACCTTAGAAATAATGGAAACGGAGCGTTTGTTTTCCTGTCGGCTCATGAAAACAGTTTACTAAGATTCAGAAAATCAGTTTGCTGAAATTCGAGAGTTATTTACACCTGCCTGTTTGTATTTTACAGCTCAAGAGTGCAGTTTTGCGGCCCTGCGAAAGCGTACCCGTAACACTAGACAGGCGTGTGTCTTATTCATTACGCCCATCAGAAACAAGTGTTGAATATTGTTTAGTTTAGTTTAGTTCATTGAAATTCGCCACTGGAATCAGCGCGATGACCGAGATGAAACAGGACTTGCGTCCCAATTAATATCAACCTTTCATTATCCACCCAGACCATTAAAGGTTGTCCACACCTCCGAGGTCTACACCCCCTACACATACGAACAGCAGTAACTAGGGAGCTTAAGGGACAGCGTTTTAGAGCGACGTGTTCTCCCTTTTTTATATTCCTTGATTCTAACAAATTTGTATTGCAAAGTTCCTTTTTCTCTTATAAATACGATTTATCCGAGCGTTTGAACCAAACCACTGCCCAATGATGCAAAAAAGTCCACTTCCGGCTGACGTCCGTCCCTCAAAAACGCTATTGCTTAAGCTCCCTAGTCTGGGTTCTCTTACGTCCCACAAGAATCACAACAGTGAAAGAGCTGTGAGACGTAGCCTACGGTTTTTTTTCGTGCTTATCTGAGAAGACTAAAATGTCTAACATTTTGTAGGTGCGAATACAAAGGCAACATATTCTCCTCAGTTAGTTAAGACCCTGAGTGTTGGTCCGGTGCGGGTTTGATCCCTCGCCCTCCCGCTCGGCAGACCGGCGCTTATCCAACTGAGCTGTTGGTAGCTACAGTATCTTCTTTGACAGTGTTGGTTTTATTATTTTTCTGTAGGGGGCCAGTCCTGAGGATACCAACGCAGTCGTCAAAGGTTCGTCACTGCTTTATTCGCGTCTTGTTTTTCGTCATCACGTACTTTTAGTAAACCATAACTTGTAAACTATAATTGTGAAAGTGTTCTTATATTGACCCGCGGAGTGTGCGACTCCATTGTATTTTGAGATGATTTTAGTGCGAATCTTACATGAGTTTCACAAAACTTGTCAGAAGAGTTACAGACCGGAAAATGGTGGTCTTGATGAAGTAGTAGGCAGTTTAAGCAACCACAATGGTTGAAACTTTCCAGATTGACAAATTATAGAGGACGTAAACACTAGACGACAAATTTTTCGTTCTATTTTTAAACTTTGATGTGCTTCCTAACAATTTACCACCAGGAAAACTCGCGTTCATTTGACCAATCATTTGACCGTATATATGACACTGACGGACTTAAACGTCTGTGCTTGGTAGTTACAAGGTTAATGATCAACTTCTTCACTCTTATCCCAGCAGATCCCCACAACGCGTTTCCATGAAGATCTGCTAAATAAGACCGCAGTGCCAAAGCCACGTCATGCATGGCGCTCAGCGGATTCACCCATTACAGATGTCAATCAAATTGATGTTGCTAGGACAATTACAGACCATGATCAAATGTCAGAAACGTCTGGTGCACAGAGCCACCTGTCACATCGCGCAGAAGAACTGAGTAGTGAGTGGTAAGCGAGATACTCAGGGTTTAATATCCCTAGTGGTAGTTAAAGGCAAAGTTAGGGTCACGGGAAAGTGCTCCTCATTGGCTTTCATTTGAATGTCCATACTATAGGATTTCATCCGCAGACTCGAAAGTTGGAACCACCTTGCACGACGTAACAAACAGTAGCACAGGAATGTACATCTCAGTAGCTTTCATTTGAATGGTCACACTTACGAATTTCATCAAGATTCAAAAGTTAGAATCTCCTTGCCGTTTACACTTGGTGCACATCACTGGTCAAATCCCTGTTTACACCAGCTCTAGTTACGACCACCTTTCTGTACCCCCGTTTGACTGTGACTTAAACTTTGTAAAGAAAGCTCTCTTACTCAAACGTTCCCTTGGACGACCGCAAGCACTTTTGGGATTAACCAACTGGACTTTTCCTTTGTTTTTAAGCTCTCACAAGCGACCACTCAGAGTCTTATTAGAGACCTTAAGCAACCACGACGACGACCACAACGACGACTTCAAAAAAACAATAGGTTTAATGATCAAAACAACAGCTCTGCACGTGAATCACGCTTTTTAGTACATTTCTTTGACGTCCACTGCACGACTACGACATGAAACCTTCTAATTTAACGCTTTATGGAGGACGTGAACATACTACGACGAATTTCCCTTCATCTTTTTAGCCTAAATAAAATCCTTAAGAATTCAACTGCAGGAAAAGTCGCCTACATTTAGCATACTGAGGCAGTGTTTTCAAAATCAGCCGTCGGCCGTCGCATCCGACGGCAACTTTTTGATTTCCGACGCCTACTTTCCCTTAGGTAAATTATATGATAAATAAAACTTTTGATAAAAAGTGGTAAGTGTTCACAAAGCTGTTGCGAGCAAGCAAACTTGAAATTTTTTTAGAGAATTTCGCCAAAACATCGCTTGAGTCTGCTTTTAAAATACGTTCTCTGTGTAATACGTTGAATAAACGTTGAGGACGAGTCGAAGACTGGGTCTCAGCTACAGGGAACATTGTAGTTAGTGGTTTCTGAAGCCACTCTATAGAAAACGCCACATTTCGTCTCCAAGAACACGGCAAAATGGCAGAAAAGCGACAGCGTGGTTTACGGGAGATGTGGTCGCTGACAGTGACAAACAGGAAAAAGAAAAAGGATGCTGCAGGTAATAATGTAATGTTTTCCCGAAGATTACCCAAGCAGATGCCGGTACGCAAACGGAAGAGGAAATAGTTCAAATTGAGGAGAAAGAACAAGAAGAAGTGGTGGCAGTGGTAGCAAAAGTCTTCTGCCTAGATGAAGAGCATGGCGAATCGGACGACAGTGAAGCACATGACAGTGGATGGGAGGATGATGACGATGATAGTGAGGACTTTTCTGACTAAAAGTCTTTTTCTCAGATGACAAAGAATCTCCATGTTTTGACTTGTAGATACTACCATATTTCACTTCAATTAAATGATGAAGTAGGACTGAACGGTGTTTGTGATCGATAAGTAATAAGGATATTCAAAATTGTAAATTTTGTTTGAGTTTAAAACAGTTCGTGTATAGCTTTAGTATGTTTTTCAGCCTTTTCCAGGCATCAAGAGAAGGCCCAGAAAAAATGCTGCTGTCTAGACTGGACAAACAGCTATCCAAGTACATGGGTCTACATGAACAAAGTATACACATGTAGCTTTTGTTGGTTATTGAAAATTCAATTACCTTCGCTGTTTCTTAACCACTTTTACTTTTTTCAACCCACATTATGTACTAATCTTTAATCTTTAATCTAATCTTTAATCATTATTTATACATGGTAAAAATCATCAGGTACAATAAATTCCTATACAATGACTAACATACTAAAGGCTTAAAATCCAAATCTTAACATTAAATATTAACTTACAACAATATGCCACATAAAAACCCTGATTGTGGTTAAAGCGTACCCTAATATTGTGGTTAAAGTTACTAAAAGCATCAAAATTCATCAGTATTTTCGATATCTAAAATTTGCTAGTTCTGCGTCTCAAAATGCGGGAAAATGCGTCTCCAAGAGTCTAGAAATTCAAAATTTCCTGGGGGGGCATGCCCCCAGACCCCCCTAGAGAGCAAGGCCCTCCGGGCCTTGCAACTCCTACTCAAATAAACGCAACTCCTACTTCAAAAACTGTTGAAAACCCTGTGAGCGGATCCAAATAGACGCGATTAAGTTTGAAAGGACGCAAATTGTTTTTTTTTTTTACCTTCGTTTTCACTGCCGTCGTCGTCGTCGTCCTTGCTTTAAGTCCCTATTCATATGAATGGACACTTCCATGAAACTACACATTGCGCTAATGGTTCGTTGATAAAGATCTTGAGGTTATTTTGGTCTAAAAGTTGGACGTATGTTTTTTCTTTATGAATTATTGATAACTTTCTGAAGCTCTCGTAAGCGACCACCCCTTATTGTTGTACCATTCGGTCGCTTACGTGAGCTCCTACTAGTAAGCGCCCAGCTCTAGTTGCGACCACCGAATTTCACAGGGGGTTGCTTGCGAAACCTTTTACTGTACCTATTCCTTCTAGGGGATTTCAAAGTTCTGGAACAGCTGAAATGATGTTAAAAAGGGCCAAAAAGATGAAATACAATCCCGCGAGAAAAAAGAAACTACTTGGTGAGTTGATCAACGTGTGTCACATTTAACAAAAACATTTTTTGGTTGTTTTGTTTTGGTTTTGGTCGTAAAGAATAAAATACTATTCCGAAAACAAGATTAAACTAAATGGAAGAAGGAGGCTGAGGTGGAATTTTCAATTTAATGTTAAAAAATAACGGTGTTTGTTGTACTTCAGTCACTTCAGATTTAGTAAAACACGCCAGCAGCCTTTTTGTAGGTATTACATTCTTGCATTTTTTTTAAAGTCCAGTTTGGTCCCTTCTGATTTAAAACATCGACTAAACGACTCTCGCTGCACTTCAAGTATTTGCTTCAGCCGGAGCAAAGGAATTAGCAGTAATTTTATCATTCCTCCTCAGTCAAAATTATAAATATATCATGCAATGTTTATAGTAGATTTAAAACTTGTCTTGGTTAATCCTTGCCCTTTAACAACTTTACTCAATTTTTCCTTCTTTTGCCGAAAGATCCCAACAAGCGACTTGCGTTGTTCAAGAAACTGGACGAGACTAATAAATTACGTGACGTTAAACCTCCGCCCGCAAGAAGACAACCTCCAAACAGAATCGATTACTTCGCAGGTGAGTTGTTAAAATGGTGCCAATGCACATGGTCATTATTTTCATTAGAATAAGGTTTTGAATGTTACATTAATTGTATTGTACAGCTACTGGGTAATGCCGTAGGGAACAAAAACGCGTTCTTTCACATCGATTACATCAAGACTGTTTGAAATATTTTTAAAGAGCTACCCCAACCACACAAATAAATGTGGTCATAATTTAGGTGAGGTTATGCACATGAAAACGTTGGCCTAAATCGTATGTGTCAGATTAATTTGCATAGACGCGCCAGTTTTTGTTGCAAATAAAAATCGTCAACTGTTAATGTTCGTTCATGTGCACGACTCGTCAAGACTTGTCAAAGGTTTTACATAGTCAGACTTGAACAGTTCTTTCCAAACTCTCTCATCTTACGACTAATCTCCCTCGACATGTTGTCCTGCATATCCTTGCTGATGAGAGTCATTTCTTTTATTATTCATTCAAAATAACTCTCCGTTTCTGATTGGCTCAATTTCCCCGCCTAATTTTTCTTAACCAGCGAGCGTTAACCAAATTTAGATGGCGTTTGCAATATTCAGTAACGTGACGTCTGTAGTACGGGCTTTGCCAAAAAAGGGACGGTAACCGAGAAGCACTGGGAACGAGGCTGCGTTCGCTCAGTTGTTTTGGTAAGCTGGAGAAAAAAGCGGGAAATTTCACACGTTTTTCGAAGAAGTAACCGGACTTCTGCCGTAAGACATGCATTACAAAAACTCAAGGGATGGAAACTGATGTGTAAAGAATATCTGCTAGAGTTAAACATCTCTTTATATCCTGAATTTGCCGAAAAACGGGCAAATTAAGGCGGGAACTTGGCATTGATCTAGGTTAGCTTTTTTTAAAGTTACTAATCATTTTGAATAAATAGTAAAATTTTGAGGGTTGACATAGTGTCACAGCCAGATGTGTTTCATGTGTTCTTGCCGTCCTCTTGTCATCGCCAAACTGTCTGTGAGATTTTAAGACAAGTTGCTCGACATACTGAGTGTTTGTTAGTTTTGTTGTTGTTGTAGTTGCTGCAGTTGTTTGTGCTCAATATCTCGACATACGCACTGCTGAAGCATGAACTAATTGTTTATAACATTATCAAAGCGATCAATGCAGCAGTTAACTTAAAATTTTATTATTGTAGGGCGCGCTCAAAGCAGTACGCGTCAATGTTTACGTGACTATATTTTTTTTCCTCACAGTTAAGCTTATGTTTTTATCCTGAAACTGAGAGAAAGTGTACTTTAAAATGATTGCAAAATCCATATTTAAGCGCCGGGAAACTATTAATTCTCCGAAAAATTGTTATTGAGAGAAAACAACTTTTCAAAGAATGATTTGCACACGCCATAGCCCGCACAGCTCGCGGAGATGACAACAACAACAACACTCACCTCTTTTCCTTACTATCGGTTAACAAATTCAAACGTTTCCTCTTAAATTTCCTTATAAAACACATAGTAAGCGCTTTATCGTGTACTGCTGAGTTATAGATGCACTCAGGAGACTCAGGATTGCTAAGTTCACAACAACTCGAGGAATTACGAATAGTTTATTAACGTCATCAGCGTTCTCAATAGGAATATGAAGCACGCTCGCGCTATTGAATTTGATTAGGCGAATTTTCTAGCTGTGTTATAATGAGTGTTTGATGTTGTTGTTGTTGCTGTTGTTTGTGGTGTGTACTTGTCTCACCATAAGGTCATTGGGAAGCTTAAGCAAAGGCGTTTTTGAGCGACGCACGTCAAACGTAAGTGAGGTCTCTTTGATTTTAAAGCGCCTTGAGGCTACCAAATTTGTATAAAGAGACGATTTGTCAAAACAATTGAGCAAAACCACCGTCCAAAAATGAAAAAAGATCACCTCCGGTTGACTTGCGTCGCTCAAAAACGTCGTTGCTTAAGCTCACTATTATTGCTTCAATTATATTAAACCTGTTTTAAATCTCGTTCTTGTCACAGCTCGCCAAGCCATGGCAAATCACCTGACGTCTACCTCACCCGCTTCTGAACAACAAAACCGAGAGCAGATGACGTACAGGTAACAGCAGCGCGTTGATTTCGCAAGGAATCTTAATCAAAGACGTTTATGAGCAGTGGTTTTGCCCACATTTTCGGGCAAATTGTCTCGATAAGAGTAAGGCTACTTAGCAGTACAAATTTGGAAGCGTCGGGGCATATTAAAAGGGAAAAGGCTTCATTTCTGTCAACGTGCGTCGCTCTTAACGTCTTTGCTTGAACTCCCTTATACAGCGTTTTCGCTCAGGTGGCCAATATCTAAACAAATTTATTGGAACAGAAGAAAGCGTCAACATAAGAAAAGAGTTCAACTCCAATAGGATTGGTTTGGAACACCAACATGGCCGCCGTTTTATTGTTTTGGCAGCCGTGACGTCATTTAAAAACGCTTTATAAACCTTTTCCAAAATACCAAAATACTCATTGATTTTGCTCCAAAAGTTTGCATAAGCATTGTTTTCGATTTATCTTTGGACGATTGCCCTATAGGTTATTGCAAGCACGAGTAGGAGTGTTTCGTCTAATATCCAAACAACGAGTGGGATGACAAAAAAAGGTGCAGGGCTAATAAACTCGCCACTCGTGTTTTATCGCTTTGGTTCTTTTATTAAACTTTTCTCATGTACTTCCTTTTAGAGCTTGAAAGCAGTTGAAATAGGGACTTCGTCCTGTAACTGCCTCCCCCCCGGCATAAAGTCCCCCCCCCCTCCACTTTCTGCGTGACAGCTGTATTGTGATATTTCTGGTGGTGGTCTAATGAATGCATTCAGAATATTTCTATTGAATGTTTTGCTTTTGTTATTTCCTTAGCTGGGTTTACAGACAAGCTGTTGTTCATAAAGATGAGGAAAAGAACATCATGGCCGACCAAAAAGAGTTTGCACCAGATAAAAAAACCAAACAAGCCTCTCCCCAAAAGTAAGTGGTAATGAAGATCATAAAGAATCTACACAGTTTCATCCCTAAGCTAGATCCCGCCGTTCTTTCAGGCGCGCTGGGCAAGTCCATCTTAAATTTTGGAAACGGTTAAGTGACGACATGAGTTCTCATTTGAGCGAGCGAAATAAAAAAAATATTTCTCATTAATATTTCCTCTATCAAGCTGTAAAATCTGAATATTGAAAGATTAAGTTAAAAGAGGCTATCTTCGAATTCTGTTTCTGTTTTTGGTTGTTTGTTTTTTCTCAAATCGTGCAAAAAATTAAAAATTGGTCATATATCGCCTTTTATCCACCCAGTAGTTATGTGATGAAAGTCTCAAAGTCAACCATTTCATAGATTCGACCCTGCTTTTAATCCGCATCTTTTTTATTAGTTAACTCTCTAATGAACCAAGGCGTAAAGCACGAAAACGTGAGAACGCTAGTAGAAAATGCTACATCCAGTGTTTATTCGTTTTATCATATTACTCTTTCAGAACCAATCGCTCCCCGGTCAATCTTCCTCACATGGACCCTGTGGTGCTCTCTGGACGTACCCTCCCCCTTATAGTGAGTGTAAATCAGTTATTCTCTAGTGTCACAGTGTACGCTCAAAAATCTACGGTCGCGATCTTTTCACTGCCATAAATGGCGATGGTGACATTTATTCTTTCTTTTCTCTCATTTACACCATTTTGTTTACTGGCACATGAATTATACAGTAACCCATCCTCTGATCCTTCGATATTCCACAATATTTCAACTCCTGTGACAACTGTCCACTCTTAGAACATAAGGAAAAAGACTAAGCTCAATTTTTACCGTCCTAAAGCTAGGATCAAGATGGGTAAATTCACTAAAATGAAGTACTCTGCTTCAGTTTTATGGGAAAGTGTCCCCTTGATGCTAAAACAACTAGAGGGCCAAAACAATTTAAGAAACTTTACAAAGCAAACCCGTTTAATCTCTTCTCAATCAAATTAGATATGTTCTTTTAAGTACTTAAATGTTAGATACTTATAAATGCTTGAGTCCTTACGTTGTCTGTTTGTCTGCTTGCTGCTTGTTTGTTTTTTGCTTTCTTGTTTGTCCCCTTTCCTCTTACCGTTATTTCCTTATTTAATTATTTTCATTATTTTTATTTATTAATATTTATTTACGCTCTTCCTCTTTAAATTTTAAGATAAGAGTCCATAGTTTAATATATCTCTAATTAATCTAAATATATAAAATATTTATGCTTGTCTTGGATTCCATGTTAATTAAGCTCAGTGTGTTTTTGTTTATGTTAAAGGAGGTGGTGGCCAACTCGAAAGCAGTTGCTACTTTGGCCACCACACACATTCAAGATAGTATTAGCTCTGTTTTATTTATTTGACTTATTGAAGAGATTCTGTTATTGTTTTAATTTATATCATGATCAATGAACTGAATTGGAACTAAATAGTGTGAAATAAAATGAACATGAACGTGAACTTAATATCTGTGTTATTTCTGATTTCGGGGCGTAAATAGCTTGTATTTATTTTTTTTTTTTTTCAGTCCAGTCCTCTGTTTTCCCATTCCGTGGAGCAGGCATCGTCGGAAGAACCTTCCCCGAGACGAAAGTCGTTATCTTCAGGTAGTTAAGCCGTCATGGTCACTTTTATTCTTTAGAGATACTTCAGGTAAATGTGTCAGAGTAGGGTTACGATTTTGTCAGTCTCTGAGTAACTTACTCGAGCAAATTGAGCTTTGAGTAAAACATTTCACCAGTAGATATTGTCACGATAAAATTTTCAATTTAATTTGAGATTGAACTGATCCATTTGGTGCTTGTGTTGGGGAGAGTGATGGAGATAGAGGAATTAACTTCAAGTTGAGCGTACCATTTACACCCCCACCCGTTTGTTTGCAACCCCCTCCTTTTGCGCTATTCCGCTCCTTACCTCTGTTTTCCCCAACAATGGTCCCCCCACCCCTCCACCCTCCAAATGTCATGGACTGATGTCCGTCAATGGCCCAACAATTTGTGTAAGTGGTAACGAATGCAAAATTTGTTTTTACCAGAGCATATTTTTCCGTAGTTATTTTGCGTATTTCGTGAAGCCCGTGTTGTTCGCTCTCTTCGTTTCTTAGAGGGTCACGTGCGTTTTCCCGCCATCAAAACTCATTCCGTGCCGAACCTCCTAGCCAGGTCCACAGCCAGCGGAGATCAGCCAATCAGGACGGAGAAGAGCAACAGTGCTGGCGCAAGAATTAACAGGGACTCAAGGACCAAAAGATGACAGGGAAATGGAATCCAAGAACAAGACATCACAGAAGTTAACAGGGAACCCAGGGAAAAACATGTTTGAAGTTCAGAGGGAACTTACAGAACAAGACACGATAGGAAATCAAGAGATTGCAGGAAACCACGGGAACTTAAAATGCTAACTTTTTCAAAAATGATTTGTCGCTGGTGCTTGTAGGGTGCAAACCAATTACTTGTTCTGAATGGTGAAATATTACATATGTATGCTATGGCTATGCGACATCTATCGAAACACCATTCATGTTGTGCCATAATTGCACCTCCACGCTGGCAGACAGATGCTCACGCGGTTCACCAGAGAAAACACCCTTGAAAACAAGCAGATTCCCGTTTGGGTGCACGGAAATTTGGTGCTTTAATGCTTTTATCGGCTGGAGATGGTTAAAAGGTGTAATAACTAAGTGTTGGTGAGAAATTTTATTTATTAGATACAGTGTACGTGATACTGCGTTGTGTTGCAGAACCAAATGTTAACACCAACGTTCCAATAAAAGGCTCAGTTTAACTTTAATATAACGACATATGTTCTAGCAGAGTCTCTTTTGTTACCCAAAAGTATAAACATCACTACGTTTTCTAAAACACCGTACAAAAATACTTTAGATTTTGTTCTCTAAGCTTAAGTTTTTTTATTAATCATTCATCTATTTCATTCCCATGGTTCATACAATCTTGAAAAGGTCTTGAATTTCATAGTCATCTTGACACGTCCTTGAATTCGGTAAAGGCCCTTGAAAAGTACTTCATTTCTTTATTAGGTCTTCAAAAGTCGTTTAATTTCACTACTTTCTTATTTCTGTTTCTTTATTTCAAATGCTGTTTCTGTACTTCAGATACAACTGTAAGTAAAAGCCAGTGACTGTTGTCATTTTGCAGTGTTGTTGCGGAAAATAGTAGTGATCAAACATGGCTGAGAAAGGAAAAGTCACAAATGACTCGGTGAGTGTTTTAGCCAGTAAGGTGAACAAAAGGGGGTCAAAGAAAGCCGAGTTACTGAAGAAATCTTAGACTTGAACACTGTAATTTATCCTTGAAAAAGTCCTTAAAAAGTCAATGAATTTTGTTTGTCTGAAATTGTACAAAGCATGATTCCGATTTTTTGTTGATTTCTTAATACCTTACTGACCCTATGACTAAAATAACACAAACAAATAAAATACTTAAAATATTTTGGCTCTTCATCTACCATACCTTGGAACTTGTTGGAAGTAATATATCAAACATGAGATGCAGTGTTTCATCTGGTGATGAAACACTGTGTCGAATGTTTGATATTTCTGCTCAAACAAAATCATTTTTGAAGGAGAAATTAAGGATGCAAATACTAAGCAGTGTTTCATCCGATTTCCAAACACTCATTAAACATTAATTTCCTTTGTATTTTCTTAATGAATTATTAATGAGTTTGAGNCGAATGTTTGATATTTCTGCTCAAACAAAATCATTTTTGAAGGAGAAATTAAGGATGCAAATACTAAGCAGTGTTTCATCCGATTTCCAAACACTCATTAAACATTAATTTCCTTTGTATTTTCTTAATGAATTATTAATGAGTTTGAGAATGTTTCTTCCACACTGAGGTTTGAGGTTTCCATTAATAAAAAAAATCAGAATGCTTATAAAAAACTATAGGAGTTTCAGTAAGCCTAATCACCTGTGAAGTACAAAGTGATGAAACAGAAACGAGTGAAAAAATAATAATTTTAAACGAATAAAAACATTTGTGCAGACCAACCTGACAGATGCCAGTATGGTTTTCAATACACTGTCCTAGTTCTTTAGATGTCTATAACTCTCTCCTCCGCAGAGGCTCCCACTGGGTATCCGTATAAAATAATCAAAAGAATAGAAAGTACCATTCCCCGCGCTCTCTTTTTCTTTCTCCCCAGCCTCCCCACAACAAAAAGAGGCCTCTGCGGAGGAGAGTGTGTCTATAAAATGTACATTATTGTTCTATGCATTTTCTTTGGTTGCTCGCTTGATCGTTCATCATTTGGTTCAGTGTCCACCGTATCCACTGGCGTCTAGTCCCGTGAAAAAATTGCCTTGCACGTAGTCACTACCTGAAATTAGGGTGCTTTTCATGGCTTGCTTCTCTGAAAAAAAAAAAAGATAAAACGTTCTCCATTCAAGACGTCCTCTAACCTTTCATAACCATAGACCCATTTTTCACTGATAAACACAGGTGTTTACAGACCTAGCATTCGAAAATCCAAAATAATGCACAGTTTATAAACAATTATTGGATGAGGTTTTTGTGATATCCGGAAAAATCAAGGTCGAGGTAAGTGTTATCAGCCGAAGCCGAAGGCTGAGGCTGCCCGCTGGGTGACCCTGTACAATTGTATTATTGATTATCTAAAAGCCTGTCTGTTAAAATTTGGTCAAATAAGTTTCAAATGGTAATGATTCATTATAATAAACTGCGTGCAAATTTATAGGAAAACCTTATAAGTGAATTTTATGTATCCAATCGTTCATGTTGCCATGGAAACTGCGAAAACGTCAATTTTTTTCTGTCAATCAAAAACTTTCATCAGTATATTTTTTACTTGCCAAGTTTCAGCTTGTGAGCTGCAACCTTTCTCTTGGCATGATTTGGCAAAAGACATATACTCACAAACTGCCAAAACTGTGTTCAGCCACCTAAAGTAATACGTCAGATGAGCGATTCTAGAGTGTTAGTATGAGAATTACGTATTTGTGAAAGTTGAACATGATATAGTAATGTCCTCCTATATTTCTCTTTTAGTTTGTTCTCATAAAGATGCCAATGAAAAGAGTTTTTTGACTAATAACATGACCAGCTTAATATGGACACCCCGTTAACACGGCGACTTTCTATGGTCCCTTGACTGTCCTCGTTAACGGGGTTTGACTGTAGATTGTATAGAACTGCATTACGTGGCATTGCATGTTATTGTACCGCATTAGGCTGCAATGCATTTCTTGATTTGGATCGTTGGCAACGCGCGAGTATCGGGAATGGCTGAAGTATATTCACGCAGACATTTAATTTTTTTATTTATAACACCTTTATTGTCAAATAATTAAACAAAAGGGTGTCAGCATAGGGGAATTAAATCCCCAAAATAGGGCAACCCCCAAAATTTATACATAAGCTGTAAGTTAAGAATAATATAAACTCATTCAACTAAGCACAACTGTTAACAATATATAATTATGATAGATAAAATGAATAGACAAGACTATGGTTGTGAGAATCTTCGTGTTGGCTTCATGCGTGTTTACTCGAAACTGAAATTTATGAAGCAAGTTTTTACCACATGTTACCACTGGCCTCCATAGTAAGTTATTTCACACAATGAACTTACGCAACAGGACGGAAAGAAAGAAGACGGCAAACCTAGTGTGATAAGCGTTACAATAATTTTTCTTTGAAATAACTTTTCGCCAAACTTTCCTTCCCTAGAAACAGATCTTTGCGTTAAAGGCCAGAAAACAGTAATCTTAAGTGAAGATCACACGACATAACACGTAAGTAACAGCCCCCTCAGGCGTGCCAAGTACAAGCGTATTGCCGTCCTCTTCTTCCTGACGTCATGATGTGTAAACACACTTATGACTGGTATTGCTCGACAAAATCTCATTCTATTAGAAACGATTAACTTAGATCAATCAGTCCATATTTGGCGTCTTTGTTACTGTAAACAAACCGGCCCAGTGGTATAATTTTTATTAGTTTTTGTCAAAACAAACTTAGACTTAAACTTGGATTTGTAAGGACGAGTACCGGAGCAGGGAAGGAATAAGACCGGACAATGCCATCGCTACATTAATTTATGTTATTTTTTTCCTGACCTTAATTTCTGAAAATCGAGCGTCACATTATCTCCAATCAGCATAAATGGCGCCCATTGCGACACTTTGGACCAACCGTTTTCTCTCATCCACTTCATGGCCTGACGAAGAGATTCACTGGCATTTTCCCCACGAGCACAATGCTCGTAGAAACGACTCATGAGCGCCTGTGGTGCTTCGTCTTCTATGGCCCACAGTGTCACCAACACGGAGCGTGCACCAGATCCTAAGAAGGCTCGAGCAATTCCAACCACTCCCTCTGAACAGATCTGCCCGCTTGCACTGTGACAGCAACTAAGGACCACCAGTCTAGCTCGCACTGGAACTTTGGAAATGTCACCCATCGTCAGTAAATAGTCTTCTTCTCTAGGTGTCCTATCAGTGAGGGGCGGAGGGGCAAGAACAATTTCTCCCCTTTCTGCCTTGCCATGACAAGCAAAGTGTATCAGAGATGCTGAATTTATCCTTTGAAGAACCATCTGTTTTGTTGCTTCTTTCCCAAGCAGAGGTTGAGTACGGAGAAGTTTTCCAATCATTTCTGCTTCCCTGTTTGCAAAAGACAGTCTCGATATGTGCTGAAGATTTCCCTTGTACAACACCTCACCAACATGGGGGTCCCCCACTATCAGTGCGCCAGTCTGACTGTGATAGTCTGTTGGACTGTCCCGAATGAGCTTGAGAGTCGTCAAAGAGGGAACGATGCGGATCCTGAAAGACTCTGATAAAGACCTTCCTTCTTCGTCCTCTAGCGCTGCAAATGGAACTGTGAAAAGGTGGCGATCAGGAACAATGACAATTTCGGATTCGTCAAGAAAGTCAGCAATGGGAGCGATTAAAATCTGGTAAGCCGTATTTAAGGGGGTGCTGAGCGACGGGTCTTCATCTTCGTCCATCATGGGGCGAGCAAGGGCTGACTTTATAGACCTACCTTGTACCAGTGATACTTTGCCGAACAGGCCGTCAGGAACGTTTAACATTCGTAGGCGTAGAAAAGGTTTGTTTGCTCTAAGAAGCCAGCACTTAATAAATGTCTCATAGTATGAAAAGAATAGCCACACGCAGTTTCTTTCTTTCATCACAATCTTTTCAAGATCACCCCATGTCTGTAAATTGGCTGATATTTCGTTTTTTACAGAGTACTGAGATAACATAAGGTCCACAAGAGCTCTTGCTCGCCCAAACTCTTCCACGTAAAAAGCCAGATAAAGATTATCTGAACAAACACATAGGATATGACTGAGATGACGGTAGTTTTTAACGAAACTTTCGAAAAGCAATACCTTCAGTTGGTCATGATCTTGGAAGAAATGTTGAATAAACTCACTTTTATCAATAATGGCAAAGAAATGTGATTTAGCTTCAGCATTGTTTCCTTCTTCCGCCATGGAGAATGACATAAGGTAGTGACAGAATGACTCGCTTTCTTTGTCCTCTTTTTTTCTGCACAATCTGAGCGCTTCATCGAAATACTGTTTAGACGTGGTACTATCACCGAACACCGCAAAACATGCTCCTAGGAGGCTGTAACCTCTGCTTTCTTCAATATTCTTACACTCATTAGCCTTGATAGCTTTACCGAAAGATTCAAAGATGTTTCCAAGTTTTTCATGTAGCGTAAATTCTGTTTTCTTGTCGCGAAATGTTTCTGCGGCTGTAAGAAATTTTTCGCTATCTTTTTTAGTTTTTACATCCTCGCCATCAATGGATTGAGATTCTACTCCTAGGAATCCATGGCATGCAGCTTCCGTTCTCTTGTTTCTATTTTTTTCTACTATTGCAACTGCCTTTTCGTAATATTGTTTGGCCTTGATATATTCACCGACAAACTGAAATACACTTCCCAGCCTTTCACAACATGTCGCTTCTGTTTCCCAATCGCCATTTTTTTCGGCGATTGCGAGTGCTGTTTCGTAATATTCTTTAGCCTTGACATATTCACCAAGAGACTGGAAAACTGTTCTTATCTTTTCGCGGCATTTATCCTCTACTTCGCTGTCGCCATATTTTTCTGCCATTGCCAGTGCTGTTTCGTAATATTCTATCGATTACAAATTCTGCTGGAGAATTGAACAGCTCCTAGGTTTTCATATCAAACGCCTTCCAATCCTCTTGCACCTAACCACGTGTAAAAATGGATACGATAGAACAAAACTCAGTCGTCAGTAATTAAATTAACTCGTAAATCACCCAAAGGACGGCCATTAGAAAATTCATGGGGAAGGGGGGGGGGGGGAGGGGGGGTTGGGGAATTTTTCCGGCCGCGGGATTTTTTTTGTTAAAAATTTCTTTGGTAAATTTTTTTTGGAAAGGGCATGAAAATTTTTTTGGGGTGATTGGTATTTAAGAATTTTTTTTATTTTTTTTCCCTTTGGGGGAATTTTTTCTAATTTTTTCTAACTTTTTTAACTTTTTTTATTGGACCGCCCCTTCTATGTTTTTAAAAAAAACCCCCCCTAACCTTTCGCCCACAAACCGTTGAAAAAAGGTACAAAAAAAAAAAAAACCGCGGGGTTAAAAAATAATTTACAGCGGGAACCCCCCAAAGGGGGGACAGATAAAAATTTTGGGGGAGGGGGGGGGGGGGGAAGGGGAGGTTGGGGAATTTTCCAGCCGCATGAATTCTTTTCGTAAACATTTCCTTTGTATAATTTTTTTAGGAAAGCGCATGAAAATTTTTTAGGGTTGATTGGCATGCATGAATTTTTTTCATTTATTTCCCCTTGGGCGAATATTTTCATAGTTCTTCATAACTTTCATAACTTTTCTAATGGACCGTCCCTTACAAGAACTGACACAAAGATCAAGCATATAAATATAGGAGGTATAGCCCGCGTCCAAGGACATGATGAAAGCATTGTTGACATTGTTGTCAGCATTTTAGTATTTTTGAGTAGCTTGTCGCATCTCCTGTGGGAAGACTGTGTCTCAATAAGATTTTTTGAATTTTCTACCTCGAGGTGGAATCGCTTCTGACAGGGAGTTATTTTTTTTAACAGAAACACTTTGAGAGTTTTGATACTAACATTATTGTACGTTCTAGTATATACATCGTTAATCTCTTACGGCCGCTCGAGCCACAGTATTTTCTTGAATCTTATAACTCCTTTTTGCTGGACCAGTACTTTCTAGGGCTCATATTTGAACCATAGTATGAACATTAAGTTATGGAATTTCACTAGAGTTTTATTGTAGTTTCACTTATCCGAAAACTTTCCAGCACTTTCTTTACAAAACTTATATCTTCGACAATTTACTCGGTTTCTTTGATGTGTATTGACTTTTTACGGCGAGAACGCTTTGCATAACAATTTCTGCTACAGCAGCCAGAAACTGGAGAGCCCATATCTGTTCTGTGTAGCTGTTTGTAGTGTTTGCCGTTGCACTGAAATTACGTCAAAGTTAGGCAGAGTTTGAGTTGGTCCATACTGTCGAGAGTTCTTAACAGCGTTCTCAGTGCAGCAATATGAAGTGGAATCTCTGACTGGTGAACAGTGATTTCATATCAAAAGACACTAGTTTTGTGGTCTTCAGTTATCTGTATTGTCTTAATGGCGTCAATAAAGTTCTCAGCAGACTGTAGTTTTGTTAGTTAAGTATTAAGACAGTTAGCAAGAAGGGGGGCTCAGAGGCTCAGAGAAAGAAATATGGACTGCATAGATATGTTGGGCCGGTGGTAGTCCATACACCGTGGATGGCTGTAGAACACTGCACCTCAGTCTTTCAGTCTGTTGTAGCAGCGAAAGTCGGTCGAGTTTGTTCGCTTTCTTCAGTGTAAGCAGTTTGTTGTTAAGTTTGCGTTGCAGTGATGGTGTCAAGTCTCGATTAAATTCTTCGTTGGTCCGTTTGTGCGTCCATCGTTTTAGTCTGTCTTGTCTACTTCAACAGTCACCCGTCCCTTGTCTGCGGGCTGTATGATTATTAGCCTGCTAGCAGGCTCTCCATTTGGGGGATATAGTGAAAAGTAGACGTGAGAGAGGCACGCGAGAGGAGACGCGAAAGCGGGTGACGGGGGAGAGAAAGGAGAGTTTTTTTTATCCACTGGACATCGAACGTCAATGTGTCCGCTCGCTCGGCTGTGTCTTTCTTGACGGTCAACTGCTAATTCTTCGTCAGCTACGCTGTCATGAATATGTTTCTGAGTTTTTCTACTCAGTGGAATTCAATCGGGCGAAGAAACCGACGCTGAAGGCAGCGCTTGAAGGGAGCTTGAATCTCTCTTCAGACTTTCACTCTTCTCGTTTTCAGAACTAAACAAGGCGTTTGACACTAACGAAATCAATACAACTGATGGAGGGTTCTGATTTTCCTTCCACAAGTCAGAAATGCAAACTCGGTCCGACTTATCCTCGCATCGCAGTATTCTATAGGCAATGCAACACTTTCACACGTACAGCTTTTCGAGAATTAAGCTTACATCAAAAGAGCCCGAGGCTGAAACAAGTTCTCGGTTCCAATATGATCCCTCTGAGAACGAAATTTGACACACACAAAAGACAGTTATCTCTCACAGGAGGAGAGAGCGATTTCCTTCCTCTGCTGGTCTTCTTTTTCGGAGTGAGTTCAGCGATCGCCAACATAACACAAGGGTTTTGGCGATAAGAGCATCGTGTACATTTGCCGCGAAAATTTTGGGCAGGCCAGCTAGGTCCTTTTATCAATCAACTTTGTTTTCCGGAACGCCATTTTTTTAGCCAATAGTATTTCCCTTCGTTTGGGCGAAGTACAAATGAAAATTTATAAGAGATCGTTGCAGGCTCTCCTTTCCTCGGCCCCTCGCGTGTTTTCTAGCGGCTCGCTTCGCTCGCCCAAATAGGCAACCTCGTCCCCAGGACGCTTTTCCCTAGCTCCAAAGCAAGGAAAAGCGCCCTGGGGACGAGGTTGCCAAATAGGGGAACTTGCTCGAAGGCTATATGATTATGCTCTCGTCGGTCACCAATGAGGGTCTCAATGGAGTGGTGGCTTTTACGGTTATCGGCTAAAGTTTTGGCTCTTTTACGGCTATCGGTTAATTTTTTTTAAGTTATGTTAACAAAACAGTTAAAAAATAATTTAGAGTTAAATACTAGGAGTAATCGGAGCTTAGGGGAGTGCGTTCGATATGTTTTTTAGTTGCACAGGTAGAAGTTGAGGGGGAAGAATGGATGGTTCTAGCGATAGATAAATATGATTAAGGCATATTTTGAACGTAAGGGCTGCGTACAGCGAAACTTCTATTTAAACTATGTATCATTATGAAAAGGTTTTGAAGCATAGCGATAACGCATTGTTCGTCTCAAGGGCTTGTAATTTGAGGAGACACTGGCCAGAGTGCGTCGGGCGTGTAAATAGAACTTTTTTGTCAGTTACTGGTGCAGTAAATGTTCGAAGGCCGATTAGCGCTTAACCCGAGTTTCTTTTTCCTTTGTTCAAAAACATTTCTTTGGATAATTTTCTCTGTTATTTTTAAGAGCATCCAACCAACAACTTGTTGACAAAATGAATTAAAGTTAATTTACTTTTTATGCTTTCACATCTGAATTCAAATTTCGTACTAACCCTGGGTTATCTTAACCCAGCTTTGAACAAACCGGCCAAGGTATTGTTACTAAAGGACACAGCTCCAACGTTTTAGATGTAATCATTAATTTTCATTTATTGAGAATTCCACAAGTAGACAATTACTGAAATTTACTATAAAATGAAACCGTTACTGGCAAGTCTTCTTAACTTGTGTTGATGTTAAAGACCCTAGACCACATTTTTGGTTATGAATGCCGGAGCACAATGAATTATCTTAAACAACTACACCTCTCAATTTCACACGTTTCAAGCCTTCAGTGGAATGCTTGTGCGGCTCACGTCAATAACTTTTCCAGTAATTTGGTCGAGTGTGTTGATTTCAGTGACTTGAGTGGCGCTACTGTGGGCTGGTTTATAACGGCTTTCCAAATAAATAACATAGAGATAAAATGTTCGTGTGTCCGGTGCTGAAAATATCACAAGTCGTGATGAAATGGCGCCGCCGAGCTTCACATCTCAACTGACATCCCGGTAGATTTACTTTGCACAACGGCCGCCGAGCTACACAACTCGGTAGATTTAATTTGTGGCACAACGGCTGCCGAGCTACACAAAGTAAACTTTTGAAAGATGAACGCTTTGGAAGATTCAGCAAACACAGATCGATAGTAGACCTTCACCAAGTTCTTGAAATATGTACGCTTTACGAAGATTCAGCAAACTTTAAAAAAAAAATGAACGCTTTACGAAGACAGAATAACAGACCTCAAAGCGAGGCAAATGAGACACAAATGCAATCTCAAAAAAACCTTCACTTATTAATTGCACAGGACTACCAATAATGCACCGAACAACCAACAGAATCTGTATTTTTTGTTTCTTTAAAGTAAACTAAAAGGTCTTACGATCATCACGGAATGAAATAAGTTGTTCTTTTGAAAAAAAATAATATTTGATAGATCATACTTCTAATATTATTTTACGCATAGAAGTCGTAACTACGAAAAAGAAGATCAAGCTGTTTGTCTTTTTTCGAATCTTGGTGTGATATTCCTTTTCTTTGGTACTATTGATTCGTTCCTCGGCGAGGCGTTACTATACCACGATAGGGTCTTTACCACACTAAAGAACAGACTGTATTGAGAACTCGAACTGATAAAATGATATGCGTTCTTGTTTCAAAAGAGGAACAAGTAAGCTATTGCAAGTCTCTTTTTGTGTAGGATGAAATGATCATTCCTGATAACAGACATCATAACAGTTCATTTAACAAGAATCCTCGTGAAAAAGCAAAAGCAGACACTTGAAGGTACGTAGTCAAAGTAGCTGCGAAATAAGAAATGCAACCGAGTGAGTTTAGCACCTTCCTTAAAATTAACAAATGTAGGGAACAATATTTTTTTTTTCACGGTTAACCCTTTTCCCCTATTTCCGGCTTATTTATTTTTTACGGCTATTGACTAAAGTTTTGGCCGTTTTACGCCTGTCGATTAACCCCATTGAGACTCTCCTCAAT